GAACGTGCCATCTTGGAAACAGAGACTGGAGGCCAGCGCCCCAGCCCTTCATTTTCCTTCTTCATCGCATCAATGTCTTCTCTCAGGACAAGAACTCAGACTAGTGTTACAAATGACAGAAAAGTATGTGGTTTACTTAAAAGGTCAGAATGGTTTGCTTGTGTCCCCTCTTCTACTGTGCTGAAACATGCTCAGATTTAGACACTGCTTACGAGGGTAGCCTGGCGCTCATTTTTGAAGTCCGCACAAAGAGGCTGATTGAATCCATTTGATCAGTATGTGACTTGCATTTTTCAGAAAGTTGCCCACATTTTCTGGATGCTTTTGATGTAGAATAATGTCTGTAATTTGAATTGCTGAAATACAGAATATTAATAGGAAGTTCTATTTTTTGTGCATGGGATTATTATTAACCCGGGGAAAAAATCCCTGTTTTTTTGGTTTTTTTTTTTTCATTTTAGTCTATTTGTAAATATATTCTAAGAAACAAGTGGTCAAGAGGCTGAAGACTGTAGTGTGCTTTCCAGTGTATCAGACCATCAGCTTGCAGATTGGGTGAAATTAAACATTGTCACTTAAACTGTCTTGGCAATAAAATCATGATAAATTATCATTCAGGCCCTTGGATGGGAGCCTAGGGGAGAATTTCACTTTGCCTTTGGATTGCTTTCCTGGAGGTTACTTTTTTGATTGCTGTGGTTTTGGAGAACAGGATTTCTAGGCATCACCTAGTTAGTTACTTAGTTCAGACTAACAGCTTTTCTGATATTGTCAATAGAAATGAAACACAAATCCCTTGAACTGTCTCTCACTACAAAATGTAGTCTGATTTTTCCTATTCTTTCTTTGAAGGCAGCTAGAAAGTTCAAATCAATAAATGCCTTGTCCTGATGGGTGATAGTTTTTAACATAACAGAATTGTATTGTTGGTGAATTACTGTACTTGCACACCTTTGGCCAGATCTGTTCAGACAAATATTGTTGAACAGATATGGTTATGAATGCATTTCACTAACTTTGTTAAGAAAGTAAACAGTGAACTAACACCTGGGGGACAAATGGATTAACCCATTGTGAAAAAAATGTATAACTTTCAAAAATTCCGACCTATGAAAAAATTCCTTTTAGTTTTATGCAAATCAGCAATGCGTATTTTCAGATCTTAGATAATTTGTAGATTTTATTAATCCACAATTCTATCATAAACTCCTGCTCAGTTTAAATGCCATGTTATAATATGTGTGAAGCCTGATTATTAACAGTGACTGATTTAACTTAATAGAAGCTTGTACTTTGTAGATCTAGATTGACATGTCAGAACTTGCTTATCTTCCAAGTGAGACAAAAACCACTAAGACAGGGATCGAGTAACTTAATCAAAACACTATATAGCTGTGTGCATTTTGTTCCTAGATTGCTTGTTAAAAGCCTTTACTCTTTAGAAAGAATATTCTATTCATACGTTGAGAAATATATTGAAACTAATGAGAAAGCAGTTATGAATGAAATAGGACATTTTTCTTCACTTAGTGAGTATTTGCTTTGACATGACTCACATCATTTAAATGTCCTCTCAGAACTGTAGTCTTTAAAGAGAAGTTATCTTGAGTTTAATTTGTATTTTTCCTTTTACTTCGTTGCTAGTTTTTGGATTTTCTCTGAAGAGCATCCATATTTATGAAACATTTTATGTAATATTTTAATGATCCAAAATTGATATTTCAAGCTTGGAATAATTGACATATTTCATGGATGATTTTATTTCAAAAATTGTGTAACTTCATTTTGAAATCTATCAGCCTATGATTTTGTTCCAAAACATTTTGACATTGTTACCAAACTGAGGTTAAGCTGCTCGCCACTCAACAGCCAATAGTTAGAGAGGCAAGTGTTGGTAGTAAGAAAACTGCTTTAATCAGAAAAGCCAGCAACCCGGTGAGAAGGTGGACTCTTGTCCTGAAACCAACTCCGAAGATTCTGCTCAGTCATGATAGGTTTTCAAGGGAAAAATGGGGAAAGAATCGCAGTGAATCATCGAGGCAGGAGGTTGGGTTCTGCTTCATCCTTCATGGCGTGCAGGCTGGCTGACGTTCTTCCAACGTTATCTTGCCCGTGTGACCTGCCTGCAGGATTGCTTAGGGCAGCTGTTGGGGGTGGAGAGCTACTCATTTTTACCTGCTGAATTCTTCATTCTTCCTCCTTTTAAACTAGGAAAAGAATCAACACGTTGGGCAAGGCGTGGTGTACATTCAGGAGAGCGTAAGTCAGGAGTTAAGTTACATTGCTTGGTGATCTCATTCCTATAATTAGGTTTTTAAGGTTAGAGGGGGACAGAAATGGGTAAATGGGAAATGGGCAAAGAGCTGCTTTCAATTCCGCACCGTCAATCATCATTCCATTTCTATGGGATCAGGGGCGAAGGTCCATCTTCTGTCACTTCTTCATGCTGACGTGGGGCGCTGTATTCTCAGAGTGGAGGATGTCGACATGGGTCCGTAGCATCTCTTTGCTGACAATTTTAGTTGCTCCTTTATAGAACAAACTACAATTATTTTGATGCCCACACAGACATAGATTATTATGAGCAGTGGTGTTAACCCCCTTCTCTTGAGGCCAGTTCTCGGAATTGTGCTGGCCGTTGACTCAGTACTGCTCAAGTTGGAGGAGCTTATGTCATGGCTGCAGTCTGGCTTTTTCCCGCTGGTGGCAGTTACAGTAACTGTGAAACAACTCAGGAAGGTGCATCAGACACTGAGTCTGTGACTCTGTTGTCCTGATCGTTAACGGCTCGAGGCCACTCTTTGTGACTCAGGGAGGCCTGGGAGACTTCAACTTTTCTAAGACCAGAGGCAGGAGACGTGCAGGGGCCTTTGTACTTGGCAGTGGGTTGGGGCGATGAGCTACAGGGTTCTGCTGGGTTCCAATATCACTTGTTTTTTGTGGGAATTCACATTACCAAAAGATCTTGAAGTTTAATAATATTTCATGATATATACTCAGAGACAAATATTGTATCAGCTTCCAATTTGGTAGAGAACATGAGGGCAGAATATAGGAGAATACAACAATATAAATGTCTTCTCCAGTAGGCAAAGAGGCAGATAAATAAAAAATGGTCTTATTCTTTCTAAGCAATTCCAGAATTTTCACTTAGCATACATTAATTATGAGCATATATGTGCAAGATATTGTGCCATTCACTATGGTCACGAGGTTAACACTTCCCTAGTTGGCGTCCTCATGGAGCTTTCAGTGAACCTCATAGATGTATTTTCATGACAGAGAGGAAGCCTGATTGACTAGGTAATGAAGTTTTAAATCTATAATCTCAAGAAGGGGCATTGTTTAGAAATAGAAATAGGTTTAAGAGTGGTTTAGGTACATTATTAAAGGATCGACATATTATTAATGGGTAAGAAACTTCTATAAATTTGGGGTGAAAATACCTTTGGGGAAGGACATCTGGGTCTTTTCGTAACCCAGACAACAGGGCTGACATGGCCCATGGGCTGTCTCAGCCCTGCAGCCCCTATGCACTTGGGGACAATAAAAAAATGCAGCCAATGTCTGAGCACCTCTCCCTGTTACATGTATTCTAAACTCCAGCGATGTAAGCCTACTCCATACTTCATTTACTCTTGACCGTGAATTTTCACCAAAATCAATGCTTTCACATATATGTAAAGCTACTCTTCTCCCTAGGGCAGCATTTTAAGCAAATTTGGATTTATATTATGTCGGCTTATTTGATTTATTCTGGCTTTTTCTATGATAAAGCTTATATTTTTAAATTCCTTAGAGTAAAAAGCAAACAAACAAAAAGTCCCAAAGCCTCATGAACCTTAAAAGGAAGTTTTCAAGTTCAAGTTTCCATTTCAGACTTCCTGTATTAGGATAATAAAAGGGGTTATTCACAGTCACCTCCCCCAAGAGGAGTGGAAGTCACTTGAGAAAACTGTGAATAGAAAAAGCTCTGCTTGGCTTTCTTTTTACTCTGAAGAAAGTATTCAATGATGCTTTTGAGATCTCTCTTTGCTTTTGAGTCAATTAATGTTTAAGGTAAATATTCCCTCAATTATACTGCTGCAGTTAGGCCTTCCTTTTTTTTCCATACATGTCACCTTTAAGAATGTGGGGGTTTTTTTGGCTTCCCTGGTGGCACAGTGGTTGAGAGTCCGTCTGCTGATGCAGGGAACACGGGTTCGTGCCCCGGTCCGGGAAGATCCCACATGCCGCGGCGCGGCTGGGCCCGTGAGCCATGGCCGCTGAGCCTGCGCGTCCGGAGCCTGTGCTCCGCAACGGGAGAGGCCACAGCAGTGAGAGGCCCGCGTACCGCAAAAAAAACCAACAGAATGTGGGTTGTTTTTTTTTCAGTAGATATTGTAATAAACAGTATTTTGGTGCTTAAACAATCATTAAAACTTTTCTGTTTAATTAAAATAAATTTTTAATGCCCGAAGGATATTTCTTTGAAAAATCAGTGTTATTCTAGAAGCATTTCAGTCAGTATCTAATAGAGGTTTCCAACATTATTTTCTTTATTCTCTAGATAATGGGCATTGCATTAGGATCTTACTGTGTATATGCCTGACCCGTTAACACAGACTCCTGCTCTGCCATTAACTAGGAATAGATCATTTAGGATTCTAGCAGTGAAGACATCCTTTTGCTTGTCTCTTAACTTGAATTATTCCTAGAGGTAATATAGTGTATTTTTCAACCTATTTTGTCGTGTGACCTTTTCAGATTGCTTCTTGAGGGCGCAGTATTTTATTTACAGCTAAAATGCGCCATAATGACGTATGAGGTCCCTGCAAAAGAAAATGTTTTGGCCATAATAGTAAAATCGTTATTAAGGACAAAATGTTAAAAGATGGAGAAGTGTCTGTATTCTATATACCGCCTACGACTGTTTGGAAAAGTCCTGCCTTCCTGTGTGTTTGGTCAAAAACATTTAGGGTCATCTCTGAACTGTACCTGGCACCCCTCTTCTTCCACAG